AATCAAATCCATGTTTAGCTCGTCAGTTTTTGGTTATCGTCTTGGAACAAAAAGAGCATCAACAAAATAATTTTCTGCATCATCATCGTTGACAAAAACAACAGTGGTCTATAACCATTTTAGATTTAGTAATTCAGGTAAGAAGAAAATACTAATATAATTAATAATGTATAAGTAGTTGACCATAAGGACAATTATGGTACTGTCTCTGTCTATGTATGACATATTTGTTTGCCTTGATGGTGCCATCTCAGCCATCTCAAGTAGTTTAAGCAGCTGGTTGATGTTGAAATATCCCAAATGGTGGAGCTTAAGATGTCAAACTATACCAGCAGAGCAGTATATACAGTACAAACCTCCCTAATACACGTACTTTTCACTTTAATTGGCCACCCTTGTTTAAAACACCTCTGTTTTTTTCTCAGCTCATCCATTGTAGAAAATGTTTGTCATCGGTTGAAAACACAACTTAAAGAACAATAACAGTGGGTCAACGGCCAGTAATATAATTCATATCATTAATACTTTGGTCAGAGGGAGATAGCTGCGGCAAACCCTAAACATGTCTGCAAAAAACAAAAAAAAGTATAGTGGATTAGATTTTTTAATTGAAGGCAATGTATTCATTGGATTGTTTCGGTATCAACTCGTTTCTTTAAAAGAATCTCAAAAAGTAAAAAGAAATACAAGTGCCAATCATTTCATCTAAGAATAATTATATTTTTAATTGTTTGTTTTCCTGAAGATGTGCTGCAGTCAGAGTTTGAAAATAATTTTGTTACATAATTCTCTGAGTTTTACAATAGCTGTGTAGGGCGTGGGCTGAGGGCAAAGACAAATCTGCAATAAAAAATATAAAAGTAATTAAAATGTTTGCATCTAGAAAGTACATTAAACAAGCTCGGAGGCTCCCACTTTAAGTTATTATTTACAGTATATTGTATATCCAACAAGCTCTGCATAATTAAAGTTTTACTGGTTTAAGCATGTCCCGGTAAGTTCTACTACTTAATTCTGAGAATTTTGTTTTGAAACAAAATCTTAAACCTTCCCAATAATTACCCCTTAACATGTTTCATGAATTAAAAAGAATTAAATCTGCAGAAAACTGTTTTTGTTTTTTTGTTTTTTTCATTTGCTTTTTGCTCAATTATCTGCCAGCCTTTGAACAGAATGATTAGCACATTTTACACAAATTACAGAATCAGCCCAATTTGGCTAAACTTATAGCACTTCCAAGAGAATTTAGAGTCACTCTCTAATTCTAACACATTAAAACGCCTTTGGCATCAAGACCTACGATAGAGGAGGAATAGCTGTATGATGCATTTTGCAAGGGATCATTATAATGAGACATTTTGACAGGCATATGAAGCAGATTGCAACCGTCCTAGACCAGTCTCCTCTGTGGCCTCTTAAAGCTAAGAGCAATTTAAACCAAACCATTTGGTGTGAGTGCTGATGCCAATATAGTAGCCCTAAGGATATAATTCTGCAATTGTAAAAGGAGAAGTAATAACTAATCATTTTCATTACTTTGTAATTTCTGCATTTTTGCAAATATAAGGAAAGAAGTTTGTTGGAATCATGAATAGAATAGACACAGGCAGGATATTGTTCTTTACTTTTTGCTTCCTTTTTCAATGTATAAATTGGATTTGATTGTTTGCAGCTAAATGTGGCAAAGTGATAGCATTCTGTTTGTACACTGACTCATTTGTTGACTGATTTGTTTTGGCCTTCTCTGGTTTTGGAGATAAACACGTTGAGCCAGATATGAATATACTTAATGGCTTTTTAATGTCTTTCTAATTTGCACTTTAAAGGGATCTAATGGACTGTTCTTGTGTTTGCACACTGCAGAGAAACAGTGGATCTGACTCATTTAGTGGTCTGCATCAGTTCTGACAGGATTCTGACTCATTTTCAGAATTTGCTCTGAAGCCAAACAGCTTATCACTTCCACATATCTGCAAGAAGTCCACATAATTTGATCTGATTGAAAAAAATCTTTTACCTAATTTTTAAGCTCAACTATTTTTAGGATCACTGACCGATTCGCTCTACCTCTATCACATCTATCTTTCATTTAACTGGTTAATGAAAATATGATGCTGTATAAAACTAATACTTTACAACACCTTTGACACTGCAGCATGTAGGATTTGATCAAGCATGCATCCACAAACCTTTTGACTTGGCCAAATTTCATTTGCAATTTTTCACATAACGTGTTCTTTTGCTATAGAAATATTGTGGCCTCTCAATCTTGTTACACTTTTATAGACTTGACTTTTGAACCAAATTATTAAAAACGCTTTTCATAAGCATTTTTAGATGGATGGATGGATGGATGGATGGATGGATGGATGGATGGATGGATGGATGGATGGATGGATGGATGGATGGATGGATGGATGGATGGATGGATGGATGGATGGATGGATGGATGGATGGTCTTTAAGACAATTTGTCAGTGAAACAAGCTGACTTGCATTTAAAAATCTGAAACAAATAACCTTATTTTATGTAAATTATAACTCATCTTATTTTAAGAGCAAAAAATAGTCATTACAGGGGAGATCATATTATGTACTCAACTTAAAGGCAAATATGGGGATTTTAAGTAAATATATATGTATTTTTTTATCAGTTATTGCAGTGATTTCAGTCTTATGTATGCAAATAAGAACAGTAGCTTGTCAATTACTTTTACTATAGGCATAATGCTAAGACCTGCCAAAATAGTTTAAAAGACAGGATGACAAAGTGAAATATGAGTGGGCCTCCATTTAATTTTAATGATGTAACAGTTAGCCTCCAATAATGTAATCGGCGATAAGACAAATGAAACATGGAAGTTGTTATGCTGTGAGCCTCTCTGTTACATGGAACAAGTCAACTTCTTGAATCGTCTGTGTTGTGTGTATGGGGGGTGTTTGTTGTGTGTGGGGATGTGTGAGAAATGCATTCACAAAGAGCAAGTGTGATGTTAAATGTGTCGTCATTAACAGCGCATTTAACCTCAGAGCCTTCCTCTTCTGTTACAGTAAAACAGTGTGTAGGTTAACAGCAGTAATCACTGGCAAGGAGAGTGTATGTGAGAGTGAGAGGGGAGAGGTGTGAGCAGAGGTTGATTGCAACGCCATTTCCCCAGGCTTATTTGAGTTCTGTTAGCTGAAGAGCTCAATTTCAAAGACAGTTTCTCCACTACTGAGCACTTTGGCAAAGAGCAGTTTTATGGTAAAAAGAAGTATGCAGTCATGTGTGTTGGTATATGTGTTTCAGTAACTTTTACCCAGTTTTTCTGCATGTCTGGAAGTTGCTTTACAGAAGAAAACACGGCACTGCACATCAAACATTGAGAGTTCATGCAATGGTTTAATAGGACTCTGAACTACTTCTCATAAATCAGCCATTGGCGAGTTCAGCCGAGACCCTTTTTAATCAGCATCTAGCAGTCATCAGAGCCAAACTGAGTGGTTACCTCAGTTGGGTCGTGATCCGCCCTTCATCTTGTTTTCAAGGGGATGCCGGCTATGGATTGGCTGCTCGCCCACCAGATATCTGGAGAGGTTCTTCATCATCTTCTGACCTTAGCTCTGCAGGAGGCACTGCAGCTGTAGCTGCTGTCAAATGTTGGTCTGGCAGAACTTTTCTTTTGACATTTTACAACATCTCTATGGCAGATTCTTCAAACAAACTGTTTCAACAGTTGATTCCGCCTCTTTGTTACTTGGCCAGATTATCTTGATTGCTTTTATTGTTGACCTCTTATATCACCAGCACTGAGTTGGTTGCAGAATATTTGGAGGACCAAGCTGAAAAAGCACTGGATATAAACAAAAAATATGGTTCAGACCTGAACTTATAGTTAGCCATATGACTAAGCTTAGCATTCTAATAAAGCAGCCATCTATGTTAAGAGAGAAAAACCAACCTTAAACAGAGGGTGTGGAACTTACAATTCAGTTATTGAGATGATTCCTTCCAGGTATCATCACAACCACCACCCCATCACAGAGGAACAAAGTACCTCCTCCCTTCAGCCAGGTGAACAATCCCTCTTTTAACAACCGACCTTTCAGAATCATAGACAGGTGTCAGATATTACAGGCTAACAATGGAACCAAACGACCCGCTCGTCGGTTTCAATTTGCATGTTTCCAAGCAATACAAGGCCTTGTCTATATAAAGCCTCAAACTCACTGCGGATCCAGACATTTGAATTGAAAAAGCTTCCTGGAGGGGAGGCAAAACGTCTTCAATCCTTGGAAACCAAGTCCAGTGGATTGTTTTTTTAAACTTTTACAGAAAGCACCATTTGTAATCCTATTCATTGGTTTTTTATGGCCTTGTTTACATGATAAATCAGCTCCTTTTTAGTTGTTTGAAGTAAATAACCCAAGGATTCATCTTTCTTTTTATTGCTAACCTTTCTGCAGTGCACATAAACATTTTACATATATATATATATATATATTTTTTATTAACTTACACAATTTAAGTTACCTCAAATCCCTGTTTGTTTGCATCAAGATCTGAGGCCTTCAACCCAGGCCCAGGGTTGTGAAGGTGCTGCTGGGAGTTAGGAAGGGGGGTTGTCACTTTTACAAAGGTACCTGATAAATGAGAGAGGCAAAATTTAGTTTCAAAACTCTCTAAACTTAACAGGTGGAATCTTCATGGATTCAACCCCCCTCAGTTTTCTAATCTATCTATGTGAGTACCTTCTAACTGGCCCTTCCTCCATCTCTTCATTAATCTTGGGGTTGTGTTCTAAAACATAAAGGCCCCAGATTGTTTTGATCTCTTTTTAATGCAGAAGATGTACATTTCTTAAACACTGTGAAAGAATTATCATGAAAGAAATATACCAGTAAACTAAAAAAAAAAAAGCAGTAAACATATGTATATTGTAAAATAAAGCACATTCTGTAGCTGGTGTTTTTTTCACATTTATACAACAGCTTCTCTGTTTTTTTTTTTATGTTTTGCAGATATTCTGTACTGCGGGACCCAGCTGGCTGGCTGAGTGTGAACCCAGTCAGAGGAACTGTCAACACCTCAGCCGCGTTGGACCGAGAGTCGCCTTATGTCCAAGCAAATAAATACACAGCTCTCTTCATCGCCACCGACAATGGTAAGTTCCCAGATTTAAACACAGTGGCTGGCCAGGGATTTATCTAAAACAAATACGATGGGCAGGGAAATGGATTTTAAAATAATATTTGCATCAACTGCACCGAGTTGGAGTTGTTTGAACTGGGCTGCTTTGGTTCCCTGCTGTGTGGTACCAATTAAGAAAATATCTGCTACGAATGAGACACGGAACTCTACTTTCCCTCAGATAAGAGACACTGAGCAGAAATATGTGTGTTCTTTTCCTGGTTCTTCTGGAAGCATTCAAGTTGTATTGAAGTTGGATTTGTTTGTATAATCTATAGTAAATATATGTTTTTTGTTTTTTTTATCAGCGCAGACAAACTTGCTACAGATTAAATGTACTAAAGCCTCCTCATACTTTACTCTACAGGGCTGTGAAAAATAATTTTCTTTTGTACAAGTGCTGAATTTTTTTCTTCTTTATTCCACAGTAATGGAAATGATAATAGCAATAGAAGCAATAAAAAAGTTTAACATTTTAAACGTTTTCAGTTTAATATCCTATCAGTTAGATGTCTGATATAAAATTGGGAGCTGTTTAAAAAAAGTTTATGTGTTTTTTATAATATATAAACTCTGTTTATATTGTCTTTTGTACAGGTATTTCATTTTTAATAGCATCTTGCCTTAACTTTTCCCTCTGTACTACTGGAACCAGAATTTCCCTAAAGGAGTATTCCCAAGGGATATATAAAATTGAGCCTAAGTCCTTAAAACTAGATATTCTGCCTCCCATTCTACTATTTTAATATTTAGTTTTTTTGTAATATGAAAAAAATATATATATATTGTATAGGGTGTTTTAGCTTGCATCACCAAACTTATCATTCAGACAATCGTACAGGTTTTACAACGTTAAATTCAAACACAGATCATTTGCATTAAATAAATTATAAAGTTGAAGCTCCAAACACAGAGAGTAGCCAATGATTGTTCTTTTTGCACTTTCATTTGCTTTAATTTGAAACCGCATCTCTTCTTTACTTTAGCTGTATTGATCTAATGCAGGGGTCTGCAACCTACGGCTCCGGAGCCAAATGTGGCTCTTTGGACCCTCTGCAGCGGCTCTTAATAGTGGCTGAAATGTATAAAAAGAACTAAATAATGCACTATGAAATAAATACCAGTCTTAAAAGCTTTAATGGTTTTTAGACGATGGATGAGGATGAAATTAAAAGAACCGGAAATATGTTTTAGAGCCATTTTTTCTTTTAATTAACTTCGAATTTATGTGTTTTAATACTATTTTGAAAGCTAAAAATTCAAACACTGTTAGGTGTTTAAGATGACGACTAATTTCCTATACCAGATAATAACAAAAAAAACAAATATATTGTTTTTTTTTTAAAGTCATACCTTGTGTCTCCAAACAACTTTTACTTGGTCAGACCCTGGGAAAAATGGCTCTTTGGATATGAAAGGTTGCAGACCCCTGATCTAATGGAATAGAATAGAATAGAAATATCTAGGGATGCACGATATTGGGATTTTGGCCGATATCCGATATGCCGATATTTTAAAACTCATGTAGCCGATGACCGATATCGATACCGATGTTAAAGCTATCAAATAAATTTTTAAAAACGCGGTATCGATCTATTTTACTTTCAAATTCTCGTGAAATTTCATCTTTCTGTTACAAACTGTCGTGATATTTTGCAAATTCTTGTGAGATTTTGTTAGTAAAATAGATCGATACCACATCAATATATCAACATATAAAAATATGGCAAAATTTCGTGAATTTTCGGGGGAAAATCAATATTTTTTCCCTCGTCTTTAGAAGTTTTAAGTCTGTAAAAAAGAAGTTTTTGAGGAAAAAGAAGAAGTAGTTTTTATTTATTTATTTTTTTAAAGCTGATCAAATATCGGGTTAAATATCGGTGGGGTGGCCGATGTCCGATATTCAGTTTTAAGGCCGATACAGGCCGATACCGATAGGGGGCCGATTATATCGTGCATCCCTAGAAATATCCTTTATTGTCTTTTAGAAATTCAATACCACCACATCATTTTTTATTTTACTGATATTTCCAGTTCAAGTAGGAGCTGTATTACGTTTACTCATGTTGGTCAAGTCAAAGCCTGGACCTGAATTTAATACTTTGGTATGATCTTTAACAAAATAATTATTTTGAAATTGATTCTGCCTTTACCTGAGTTGTCTTTCACATTTAAACAGTTTCATGACCTCTTTGCTGTAGAGATGGTGTTTTGAAATTATTGGCTTTAAACTCAACCTTTTTATCATACTCACCTGGATAGGTAACCACCATCATCCTGTGGTGGCGATAGGATGGCCTTAAGTGGCACCGTGTCCATCAGACCATATGGTGGCTGCTTGGTACTGTCAGAGAAGCTGCTGCTCGGAGAATTCCCTGGGCTCACATGAAAGTGTAGAGAGCCCCGGAGCTCCCTCTTTTTTTCTTCTCTCCTGGTCTCATCATCTCTCTGTCTCTTTGTCTCCCTTCCTGTTTCTTTCTCCTCCGCCCTATCAATCCATCTGTTCTCTGTACTCAGGAGATTCTGACAGATCCATTAGAGGAACTGAGGGATTCTATTAGTAGGCAGCAGAATAGCTCTGTTGTGCTGGGGAATTCGGCAGCCTTAGAAAGATGAGTGCTGAAGGAGGAGTAATGATGGGGCAGGAGGAGAAGGTGGGAAGAGGTGGAAGGGTCAGTGAAGGAAGAGAAAGGAAGGGACATGAGAGGAGATAACAAGAAAAAGATATAGAGCCAGAGAAGTAGGCAACAGATAAATGAAAAAAAGACAAATGGTGAGTGGATCCAGCAGAGAGAAAGAGTAACATAAAGACACAAAAAGTAAGGGTGTCAGTGGGAAACACAGTTTGATTTTTTTCTTTCCAGCTTTGTACGTTTAACCATAAATAACCTGAAAATAAAGTGATTTCAATTCTTTTCAGTTTATGTTTGTGGAGAAAAAAAGCAGCTATGTCCTCTTACAGCATTTTATTCAGGTCCAATTCCTATCAAATTATATATTCTGAATGATATTAATCTGTACAGTCAGATATAGTTGAAATTGTAATACAATCATAGTCAGATTCTGTTCATCATGTTGCTGGCTATTGGTTAGAAGCTACCTTCTTAACAAACTGCTCAAATCGGGGTTTTCAGTTTTTTTCCAAATCCTCAGGAGACAGTGGAGAGAAACAAAGCTACCTATAAACAGGAGTGCAAGTAAGACGTAATGCTCTGATAGTGTGTACTAGTAATAAGTTTTAGGGGGAAAGTTATGCTGCTTGTCATTTGTGTCCCGCGATTTGGCACACAGTTCCGAATCTGAGCGCGTTGTGACGCTGGGGTGCTGTGTTTAAATGTAATATAGATGTGTCCAGTGCATGTCTGGTGCATGCTAAACTCTGGCCAGCTGTGCATTGCACACAAACAGGTCTTTGCGTGCATTCATCTCCATGTCTGCATTTGTGCTCAGCCGCTTACCAGCTCGTTGCTCTCTCAACATGATCTGCATTCTTGGCTGTCTATGTACTTGCAACTCAATAAACTATTTGTCACTGAGCAACACATTTTGCCAAGTGTGAAAAATATTACTTTCAGGATTTTATTTCTTCCATTTTAGTACAGGTGATAGAAAACTTTCTTTAATTTCCATAAAGGAATCCTTATAATATACCCAGAAAAAATATTTAATTATCTTACAGTTTATTTTTGAATAAAATCCAGATTAAAAAGTCACATAGACCTGAGGATATTTTCCTCTCATAATTTCTCCTTTTTCTGTCCACCCAAGGAGGATATACATGTTTTCTTGTAGCTCTTCTCTTTTTCCTTGGAATATTTTACCATTTTGCTCTAGACTTTTTTTTTTTTTTTAATCAGGTTCTGGATTGTCATATTATAAGCTGTTTTCTGTGTAGTTTATAAGGCTTGTAATTTTTTTTTTTTTTTTTTTTTTTTTT